TGTTGCCTTTGCTGCTTATACCACTTGTCTATCTTCTTACAGAGGCATGAAAATGGCAAACAGGCCATGTACAAAATCTTCAGACTATATCATCTACATTTTCCTTTTGATTTTCTCTATTACAAAATACAACTCCTTTTTTAATCAGAAAAAAAGTGGAACTATTTGCTTATGTTTAAAATGCTGAAACGTCTGATGTGCTTTATGTAAACCTCTATCATTGAATAAAAGCATTTTACTTCCAAAACTCCACTTGTATTTCTTCCTTGGCACTTATTGTAAAATATACGTAATTTCCCCTTACTGTCAATTAATCAGAGATGTTAAATTCTCTTAATATGACTGGGGAAGATTAGCTTCACTATCTTGTATTAGAACTAACTTATTGTAATCACATGTCACATATTACTTTGAAAAATAATTTTGAATGGTAAATCTGTTATGCTGTATTTATGTTTTCAAGAATAAAATAATAAATTAATAGAATTACTACCTTGTAAATCCAATGTAAGAACTGGGATTACTTTCCTAATCTAACTTTCAACAAATCATTCCAAGACATATTAAAAGCTGTTACTTTCTTCTTCCCCTTCCTGAATTCACACTCATTTCCAACTGTTCCATAGCTCCTTATCCCCTGCATCAACACAAATCTCAAATTGTTTTTGAATTACAGATAAAAATGTAAGAACTAAGAAAAGTGTCACTCACAAAATTTTGGAAGAAAAATGCAGTTGAAAACCAACACAGATCTGAATACCTGAACAATCATTCTTCTTTACCCTTCAGGGGATATCTGAAAGTGGATTAAGAGGTATACATTTTGTATTTCAGAGATCCAAAGGGTCCACAGAGAAATTGTCAGTCTTGTGCATTATATTTTTCTGCTATTCCCTCTTAATAGCATGACTCACTCAGCCTCAAATTCACACTGATCTTCCTTTTATCACTGCTTATTGACTTCTCTCTCCAAAGAAAAAAGTACAGCAAATGTGTAGTTATGACTTGCTTCCAGTGCAACTGACCTTTAAGAAAGATCCTTTCAAGAAGGAGCAGACCTTCTGCAGAGAGAGGTGTGAAGGTTCAAAATGAAGAATAGACTGAAACATATAGTGTTTCACTTCTTTCCTAAAATTCTTTGTTATTTTTATCATATCCTAAGACATGAGTTATCTAACCTAGTAGCATGTAGAAAGTTCAAGAGAAAGGTAAACTATATCAACCATGACAACTGAGAAATGTTAAAGTTTGCAGTCCCACAGCCTAAGTTTTTCTAGATTTCTTCAGGAGAATCTTCATTCCTCTGAGCTGGTGGGGTAGGTACCCAATTCCACACCAGGCCATGGTGCATTCACTAACCCTGCCCCTTTCTGCATTCACAACTATTTTTTTCATTGAAAAATTTACATCAGAGACATGCAAAAGACAAAAGGTCTCATGTAGCTCAAAGTTCATTTCTGTGCATTAAAGTTACTTATTTTACACAAGGATATTTAATCTCCCCTATTCAAATTTCCACAGATTCGGCATTGCACACCCCCATGCAGATAAACACATGCATACTTGCACTTGTAGATGAATAGTCTGTCTGAACTAACATAGCTAGATACCACTGATTATTGGGAAACCAAATAATTCACATTTTCAAGAAATACTCCCCAGATAATTCATAGTTTTGGGAAAAGAAGTCACTGTGGTGTTAAATTCTTTAAAGATACCTTTTTAAATACAAAACCATTTTTTGAGTTCTTTCTTCAGGGAAACATACCCAGAAACATTGAAACCTTACCCCAAGTGCAACAGCAGGGAACTATTTCAATAAACCCAGAAACACAGAAAATACTTATCATCTACAAAAGTATAATTTCTTGTTTCTAGAATAACCTCATTTTTCCAGGATGTGTGTTTTGCCATATATAAAAACCTTCTGCATATGGCTAATATGGATTAATTTTATATTAATTTTTCCAATCTCCAAATGACATTTTCTTAGAGAAAAGAAATAATGTCTGAGGAATGGGTATATGGTTGATATTAAAATATAGTGGTGATTTGTTGTCCTAACGCTTGCTGTATAACAGATGATGGCAGTGAATTAATCCATCCTCTTGACAGTCATTTCATGGCAAGAATAAGAAACCTTACCATTTTCATTGCAGGCCTACCCTATTCTTGTCCTCAGTGTGCATTTCCATGACAATGACTGTGATCATTATAACAGCATTGTACATAATGACTCTGCTTTCTGTGATGTTACTCCCAAATTGGGTGTGAAAAATGTGAAAGGACAGATCTCACATGGCAAAACTCTCACCAGTGAAGCAGAGTAGTCTACAGAATTAATAATTGACAGAATTGATACCATGCTGCCACCGAACAAAAGCCTGGAATTAAAGGGTACTACCTTCTTTTATAAATGGAGAGACTTTGCACAAAAATCACTTGTCAAATTAAGGGTACATAGAATGAGACCTTGATGGGGTGTACACAATTAATTGCAACATTAGTAAAACATTTATTTTTCAAAATGAAAAGGAGCTCGTGCATAATGACCACTACAGAAATTTTACTAATTACTAATATTATGACAGCCTCACCCTTTTTTTTCAATATAAATATCTGCCTGAGCTAATATGATTGATCTTTGCTGTAAATCAGGTCATCAGAATCATCAGAACAAATGGAAAATAGAGTACAGTTGTTTTTAAGTTACACAAAGGTTTCGCAAAGATAAGCTTACTAATGTTGTAAAGTACTCAGAGTAGAAAATTGTAAGCATCAGAGGGAATTCTTTGAGGAAAAAGGGAGAAAAACTTCTCAGTACAGAAGAAGGAATGTCCTCAAACAAGGCATACAGTCACATTTTGACCACAAAGGACTGAAAGAAACTCTATTGATTGATCTCTGTAAATGCAGCATTAATAGAGCGGTCAGAGGATGAAATGAAATACATAATGCTATCATAAGAATATAAAATTGAAAGGGACCATGCTTCAGCTCACTGAGTCCAGACTTCTGTTCTGGCATGAGATCATGTCTATAAATGCTTTCATAAAGACGAGCACACTTAACTTTGAAACCCCTTCAGCTTTTTTTTTTAATTCTTCCTATTAGTAGACCCTTTCAGAATCTGAATTATTCTCGTTTCTGTACAAAGTAAAATTTCAATCAACTTAAATAGCTTTTCTCTTTTCATTGTGGTTTCTTCTGAGGTGTATTATAACGTGCCCTCTCTATTATTTATGGGAATAATTAAACAAACATATTCTCCACTACCATCTTAGCCATAGTATTTAATTTTCTCTGTATAGCTTCATATATAAATCCATTTTTCTGTAACAAAAGTAACCAGTACAGTAAATAGGTTAACATTATTTTCCACAATGTCTTTGACACTACTTTAACCCTTTTTTTTAATTATCTCAGCTTTTGCAGCTTAGTATCATACTTACCTTCTTTCAGGTATGACATTAGAGGCAATGTTTGATCTGGTAATGAGACCTTTCTCTTTCTCTGTCACTTACAATAAACCACTAGCGTATAACTAGTGTTCATTATATTGTTTTGTAAGAGTCTTATAACCTTGTAGTCCTGAGGTTTACTCTATATTTCTATATCCAAATCATATTCATGATATCTAGCTCTCTCCAGACAATGTTTTTATTTTCCTGCATAGCTTTACATCACCAAGATGTTTGCAAAATGTTTCTTCTACTCCAAAGTCATTTATGAAAATGTTAATCAGTCTAAGATGGATCTGGAAGGATAACTCCTTGTTCCCTCATGTGTTTTAAAAGCTTCTCTTTCAATGCAAATCATTAGCTCCATTTAGAAAGGTCCTTTCTCAATTTACACTTCCTGCACATATCTCAACAATTTTTGGTGTGCTGAAATAATTGGTATTTTACTAAGGCTGGTGTAACTGAATAATTACTTTTTTTTTTTGTCTTTGTGTTAACAGTAGCTTAAATACAGTTGCTCCACTTGCTATTTTTATTTCAGATGATACTGTTCAAATTTGAAAGCCCTCACTAACAGCCATCTGTGATTCAGAAGGTACTGGTTTCCTTGGATGTTTTTCTTACTCTACAATGTAATTTTCAGGATTACCAATTTGAAGGCAAACTAAAAAGAAGTCGTTCCTTTACCATGTCCATCTTTCTTTATGCCTCACATTAAATGTCTTTCTCCATTTCTATTCAGGAAATTAAGACTCATTTAAATTATGTAATAAAAAAAATCTATCATAATGCTGCAAGACAGAATTCAGGGGGAGAAAATACTCCTTCTGTCATACACCACGCCTTAAAGCTACATAGAGAGTTTTGTGTTATTTTAATGCAAATTTAAAACCCAAGCTATGCAGACAACATTACGCAACCAGACTTCAGTTGGCCAGGTTTCAGTTCAAGTACATCAGCCTGATCTTTATGTCTGAAGCTCACTCTATATATGAAAACATAAATGCAGGGCTTGTTCTCAAAGACTTCTGAGGAACTCTAACAAGTAACACACCTTGTGCCTCTTTTTATGAAGGAAGTCACAGAGAATTTCCTTTTGGAGGAAACCTTTTCCACCCTACAGTCAGAGTGGAATGAACACCCTATGGAGCCTAGACTGCATTTGTAATATTCTTTTAAGCAGAACTGAATATAATTCTGAAATAGTCTGGAAAAACCTTTAGCTATGATCCCATGCATTGGGGGATCTGAAAATTGATGTAACGGCATCAATGGAACTCACTTTGTGTTTAGCTGAGCTCAGAAAAAAAGCTATTTTATCATATTTTTTTATCCTCACCCTATATACTTTTGTCATTTTTTTTCTTTATAATAAACACAGTATACAACTGGTAAGTTCAATGTGAATGTATGTACCAATCTAAGAGGTACATCCTCCTTTAAAAAAAGAGGTGCCGTCTAGAGTTTTCCTCTATCAATGCCACATTTCAGGGGATGGGAAAAAACAAACCAAAACCAAGAAGAAGACAATGACCTTACCTTTCCTACATACTGAGGATCTGGTCCCATATGTTCTTCTAAAACAAAGAACTGATTCCACACCCATCCACGCTTGGGACGATGATGCACTTCTGTTTCGCCTTCTATGTGTTTGGTTTGATTTCTAGTCACCTTGATGGAGCCATGGTGAGCAGCTCTGTAACACCTCTGCACAAAACAGAGACAAACTAGGACTGGGCAGATATAGGATGTAATTCTCATTGTAGGACAAGCTTCCTGTTCAAGGTTTTCTTTCTCTTGTCTTTCTCAGCTGTAATCCTTTAATAAGTTCCCGAGACAGAAGGTGAAGCCTGATTCAGAAATACAGTCCAAATTGGGGTTTTCCGTTTGTTCATTGTTTAGCTGCCCATTTGGGAAAGCTCAAATTATATTTACATTATGAAAAGCTGACTGGAAAAATTGATATTTCTTCTGAGGTCTTCACAATAGAGTTCCACAGCCGGCCATTTTCTATCTAATAGAAAAAAAAAAGAAAGCCACTTACTCATCACTAAAACCAGTAATTTTCAGGTTTCTGACCTACACTCAAAGCTGTGTTAACCAGTCAGTCAAAGACTGTAATTGGAATTAAAATTTCTTTTCAATCCTTCCTGTAAAAGTGTTTCCTGATTGTTTATGTTAAAATACCTCTAAGACTTAGCATGGCTCCTCCAAGCTATGAAAACACTCACATCATTAAAACCTGGATGATTCAGGACAATTCCTTTGGCCTTTACATGCAAATGATTGACATGGTCTGGCAGTAAAACAAAATCTCTTCTAAAGTGTCATTAGACAGTGATTGGTAAATCATTTCACATGGGGTTTTGATGTTCAGCATGCCACACAGATACCCAACTTGATGAAAAATACCTAGTCTATAACGGGTTTTTAAAGAAGGCCTCCAAAATGGGATTTGAGGATTCTGAGTCAATACTAGAGCATATTGACAGGAACTTTCAGTCAAAATGTACATTTTTTACACCTTCTGCTTTACGTAAATTTCAACCAATATCACGCTAGACCTTCATAAAATTATGTCATACTGACAGAAGGTTCGTGTACTGTTGTTTAGATGATCAGTATTATTCCCAGTGACAATATTCATTCAGTCTCAAAAAAGGAAAATGTAACGCTTCATACTACAATAGTAAAATATAAATAGATATGTGTAAGTTGATGTAGCGCTTAAAGCAAAGTACCTTGAAAGGAGTCTTCAAACTTAGAGAAACAGTTATCTTAAGGTAACCATTTGTTCAGTTACCTCAAGGTATCAAAGATCAGTCAGTCCACCAGGAGTCTGAAAACATGCAAATAAATCTACAAAAAGTGGAATCTTCCGATACTGATTTTGTTGAGGTATCATAAAGCCATTACAAGCTACATAGACAGAAGCACAATTAAACTAATTTTGTTTCTAAGTTTCGTGGGAACCCAACTGTAGCAATGGATATATGGAAAAAGTCCTGCCAAAGATGGACTGGTGAATCAGAAGTTTTTATGTTGTTTAAACTCATGTTAAGATGGCTCTTTGCAGAGTCACTGCTTTTCCCCTATACCTTCTCTGTAAACCCTTATCTCTCAGGCAGGAGTGTCCTGGGAAGATGTCCCAAGGTGCTCTCATTGGTCCTTTGTCAACCCTTTCCTTATTTGGCTGTAAACTCCTTACCTGATTGTAAGACCCCCTCACCTGTGATTGGTCCCCTTTGACCCTCCCAAGGGCTATATAAGCCCCCATCCCTCAATAAACTTCCTCTTTCGTCCGTCTCTCCCCTGGTGGTCTGGTGAGTGCTCCATTGTGGGGTCTCAGGGCCATGTGGTGGGGGGAAGGGTGGAAGGGCATACACCTTCCAGGTATGGACTGAGCCAGGCCTGAAGGATCTCCCCCACCCCAACTCATCTACCGTAACCCAACAGAAAAAATTAATAATTTCTAAGGTGAACCAAACTAGAAATTAGAAATCAGATGGAAAAATACTGCAGTGGAAGGAAATTTATTAGCTGTGTTTTGGCTGCAGATTTTTTGACCTTATGCTTCTTTCAAGTCCATATTAACAACAGAAGCCTGGAACTTTTAGCTAAGAACAGCTTCTTTTCAGAATAATGGAAGAATACTGTTGCACATTAGAAATAACCAGAAAGCACATATTTTCCACTGCTAATACTCAGTTGAGGACAGTGGGTTTTGCTGAACGAAAGGAAGAACTCCAGTCTCTTGTGGTTGTGTGGCAACTCAAAAAGAAACTCTGTACAACTGAGGAAAGAAATTTGTAGACATTTAGTATTTCCCTGCTACTTATTTCCATAACAATGTAATCTCCCCTCAACCCCTATGAAGACCAAGACACTGTTGTATTAAAATCCTCACATTCCATCTCAGAACAGATTCATACAACATGAGGAATATTATCTCCTTTAAGTACAAATGTGATTTAATAGGATTTTTTTTTTATAGTTAAATTTTGTATGAAATCTAAGTTATACCAGTGACAGAATCCAGCCATTCTGGGACTCACACTTGTTTCTTACTGTATACTCTTCTTTCTTGATTTCCTTGCCATTCTCAATTCTTTCCTGATTCTTGCTAGAAATCAGTTTTTGCCTTGAGGCATGCAATTTCCTTCTATAGATTTCTGTATTTACAGATGAGTTACTTAAATAGATCAATCATATTTATACTTGAGACATACATAAATATTAAGCAGTACCTCAAAAAACGTAAGGGCTGTAGTTTTATCCATTCAAGTATTATTTTTTTCCCTTAGTTTCCATCTTGAGAAAAGACTGGGAGCCATTAATAAGACTATAAGTAGTGCATAATAAGTTAAAAACGGTATATAAAGTGCATTGAGATTTCTCAGAATGGCACATTTAAAATGTATTTGAAATCATTGCTGCTAAACTTTCTTTTATAAAAACTGTGGAAATGGTTGTGATGGAAAATTCTTGCCTTATAAAAAAGTATAAATGAGTGCAGAAGATAAAAACAAATCAAGATTTACTATACAGAACTTTTTTCTCCCCCTCTCAGAAATCATCCATAGAAAAAAAAACAAACCAAAACCAAAACCAAAAAAATATGAGGAAAAAAAGCAGCAAAATATCAAGGGCTTCTACATCTCAAAAAATATCTGTTCTTCTTAGCATTAGCATTAACTAGGAGGTTGTCATGGTTTGAGAGCCCCGAAATCCAATTCCCTAGTTCTAGCCCCCCTCCCAAATCTCAACCCAGTGTGAGATGGGTTTTCTAGACACCACACAAGACTCAAAATGGGAGGAAGGGAACATATTACAAGACTGTACAACAAATAAATAGTATAATACATCGTATACAATCTTAACTATCTCTACCATGACATACAGTATTTACAATGGATCAAATCTCTTCTCCCTTCCAAATAAAAGTCCAGGAGGGAAGAAGAAAGATCCTTTCCACTCTTAGAGCAGCAGTCCCTAGAGCAGCAGTTTCTCTTTCTCTCTTCCATGCAGCAGCTGTAGCTGGATCTCTGCCAGTACACACGAGGGGGTATCCAAGCCCCTCGGCCCTTCATCTCCAAGCGAGGATCTTCTCTTCTGTGGACTGAACAGCAGGGACAAGACTCGCTTCACCACGTCATATCATGGGGTGTAAGACCCCCACGAAGGTCCCTTCCTCAGGGGATTCAACCCTGAGTCAGAACGCCTCGGGCAGCTTTCAGTTGAAGGCCTTTGCCTCAAGAGTTCTATCAGAGCTTCCATGCTCTGATCTCAGGCTGCTAGCTTCTCAGCAGCAGCGAGGGGGGAAGGCCAAGGTCACCCCCTCCACATTCTTCTCTGACCATCCCGATCCAGCTCCAGGATGCCTCTGAGCTTCTTAGCTCCTCTTTCTGCAGTGCTGCTGCACTCTAAGACTCCTCTCTAGCAAGAGTCCATCTCCCTCCTCCTAGGAGGGGTCTCAAAGGAGTTTGGGGAAGTTTTGGTTGAAGTCCTTACCCCAAAACTCTCTCTCTGTAGTGGTTTAGTCCTGCTCTCTGCTGCTGGCTCTCTCTTGGCTCTCTCAGACAACTCTGTGTCTTCCTGCTCGGCTGCATGCTTGTTTGCTGCTTCTTCAGTTATCTTCTTATCAGTTCTTCCTGCTGCTGCTCACAGTGGAGAAACTTCCCCCAGCTCTTAGCTACAGATACATAGTCCAGCTTAACACTGTTCCAAGTCCCTGCAGCCCCCCAGTCGGGGGCTGGGGGGGGCCAGAGCCCCCAAGGGGCTCCTACCCCTGCTCCTCGTGGCCTTACAACGTGGCCACCTCTCCTCCCACAACAACCACAACTCCAACTACAACCCTTCTCTTTTCCAGTCTAAATGTGATATGTTTATATTTTGCAGGAGCGTTCATTGGCTCGACCCCAAAGGGTTACCACCCCCTCGGGGGTTACCACTTTCTTAGCTCTAGGGGGGGGAAACTGTTTCCCCCCACCACAGAGGCATTAAATTTATATTTTGTTAAAACCACTATTTTATTTAACTCAATTAAGAGAATAACTCTTAAACACCTGACCCCAAAATTAAAGTTCTAAAATCCTTTATTCTGAACAATAGGAAAGAAATATTATAACAACACCTACTTTCTGTTATAATCATGCTTAGAAGTTCAGGCCTCAATTGATCCTGAACTGTATGTGAAGCCTGGACAATCATTTCCAGGCTAGAGAAATGCAACTATTAAAAGGGAAGGGATTTTTAGTGCAGATTGTTTGAAGTGTTACAGCTCTGGCAAACATCTTTAAAACCAAAGCCTAACTAATGTTCAGTACCAAGGTCCTCATTCTTACTCAGCACTCTCCTACTACAGGTCTCGTACAAGCATTCATTACAAACCTGCTCCCACCCTCCCTTATCTCCACCCTCCACCACAGAAACCTGAAATCCACCTTGAAGACATCAGATCAGAGTGGCCTACAGGGGGAAGTTCAGATGGAAATACCTCAAATAGTTAACACAGAAGAGACAGTAAAGCAATGAACAAAGAAACTTGAACTGTGACCAAAGGAAAAAAAACACAAACCAAAACAAAACAAACCCCTGAACTTTCTGAAATCCCTTGAATTGTTGCCTTAAGCTAATATACTGAGATGCTGCCTGCTCATTGCTCTTGTCTGCAGCTTCAGATAAAGTGCCCTGATTTATGATTTTTGTTATAAAGATGCATGCAACTGCAGAGTAGACTTGTGTTATTGCTGTCTCCTGGGAGCCCCTATGAAAATGAGTTGTGTATCTCAAGAGACTGTCAGACTGAGTTAAAATTAAAAGAAATAATTAAATAAGATGAGGTGGGAAAGTTCCACCAGCATTGCTGGAAATCATTACAGCAGAGTAGTTACTGCTTAGTGTGGCAGCAAGACTATAATGAATTCCCAGGAAACAAATAGGAGCACAGTGATGCAAAATGCGTATGCCTCACCATCATGAGGACATGCATCCTTCATACTGGGGACTTCTCCT